CAGCCCAAGTGGAAGGCTCTATCCCCTTTTGTTTAATTGCGGTGGGTACTCAAACTTCGCACAAAATCAGGTTTTGCTGTTCAATAAATGACTATAAGTGACCATCAGGTCAAGGTGTAGGGATGGTATTTTCAGGGATAGAAGTCGAGACTTCTAGCTTTAATTTAAGCCTAATACCGCCTTTTGTTTCTTTGCTAGAGCTTCTAAAATATTGCCAAAATTTTTTTGACATTTTGACCTCGTTTTTCACAAAATCTGGAGCTGATGGAAACCTCATGCTCATGGATTCGTAATCAGCACTGACAAGTCAATCAAAAACAGCTTTAACATTTGCCGCAACAAATTTTTTCCCATTTTTGTTGCCATGTGTTATAGATCATAAGAAGAAGCTTTCTTTACTAGGCTCATAATTTTATTTTTAATTGTAAGCTTCAGTAATAGATATGTAAATAAATAACTAAAATTCGATAATAAAATGCTTTACTTAGACAGAACTATACATGTTAAAGCAATATTTAAACATAAAGTGAATTTTAAAGTTAAAAGCTACTTAAGAAAACAGCCCTACGTGTGTTTATATTTTCAATATTTTGTTTTTTTGTTTTTCGATACCGTCCCTGTTAATTTGGAACAGTTTTTAACATTACATTGACTATCGATAGTACTATCGATGGTACCGTTTGACACTATCGATAGTATTGCTGGAAACTATCAACGAGTAATGATAGTTTTTTTCTGAAACATGGAAACTATCGATGGTGGCATTATCGATAGTTTTACAACTCTAGTCCACGGTAGCATTTCAAACATAATAAATTTGTATAGAATTTTTAAAATTCTTTCAGAGTGGCAAAAAATAGGATCTGCATGTATATTTCTTGTTAATCCGATTTTCTTCAACATACATTTCAATTTCTTTGTCGTAGTAACTGTCGGGTTTCCTAAATCGACTCTGGTTGCGATTGCATTCCGATTACGAATACATTTTTTTTCAGCCGAGTACCTTGCAAATCATTGGAATTAACTAAATTAATTAAGTAAGCAAGTATTCACTTACATTTTTCATTTTAAAATCGCTGAAGTTTGTACATTTTTAAATTTAACAAACTTGTTTGTTAAAATTATCGTCGACAAAAAATCCCACCATGTGTCACAATCATATGCTTTTCCTAATTGCAAATTCTTGCTGACAAAATTTGTTTCAACTTGAATTTGCAACTTCTCTCCAAGAACTAGTTAGTCTTTCTACCTGTGATTTATTTAAATAAAACATGTGAACTTTAGTTGAAACAGTTTAGCCGTTTTTAGCTGGGTTTTTTCGCCAATTTACCCGGTTGGTCTAAAATGTTCTGGCAACACTGTTCATAGTACTACGTAACCATGTTTTTAACCGGTGAGAGGTTGAAAAACTTCTTTCGGAATTAGCGTTACCAAGGCCGTATTTAGGGGGGCAGGAGGGGAGGGGGCACTTAAATTTGAAAAAGGCAAAACGAGCTTCAAAAAAAGGCAAAAAAGGGAACTTTTGTTATATTTTTAAATAAAAATATAGTTCGTTCTTTAACAAAACCCGTGGAAATTCATGTTTCCAAATTTGAGCAGTCCACTTGCAAAGGCGCTATGTAATTTTTTTTAGATTTTTAGTTTTTGGTGATTAACGTACCAGTATTTAAAGTAGTTTCATGTCCACTAACAATACAGTGCAAAATCTTTCTATTTTCTGAAAAAAAATAGGATCAAATGTATTGCAAAAGTCGCTATAATACTTATTTATACACTTTCAAAAGTCTCCATCTTCTGATGAACCTAGAAAACTGCAAGAAAACGTGGGAGTTTCGGTGCCTAGTGGAAGGCGTCGTAAAAAAGAAGTAGACCAATCTTCATGGAAGAGCGAACGCGAAGAGCAAAAAAAAAAAATTGCTATGTAAAAGCTACTGTTTCAAAACTCGCTATATTCACTTTTTATATATAATATTTGCAAAAACTACCACATTGCCATATTGTTTTTTAATGTACAATTTGGATGTTACTTGTTGTTGTAGACGTTTTTTGTTTTTATTTATGGATCACTATTATAAAATCACATAACGCTGTTTGCAAGTGGACTACTCATTTGTGCAATATTAAAAAAAAATTTCAACAAACTTTCGTACAAATTTCGAACTCTTAAAAATTCTAAAAAATCAATCGACATTTTTAGCCATTTAAAACGTGTACTTTATTCTACTAGAATTCAATGGGCTACAAAACTGCATACACAGAATTTAATTAAAAAACTCGAAATTTTAACGAAAATTTGTAGATTTTTTTTTTAATTGCATACATTTTTAAGGCAGTGGCACTCGATTGGTACATTTGTACAGATTTGTAAATTTTTATATTGGGCTATTGGTAAAAAAAAGTGGGACATTTTTTTTTTGCATTCAAAAGATTGGTACCATACAGCGATGTTCTATTGAAAAATTCCAATAAATTAATTTTCGTGATTGGGATAGAGAAAAATATTTTGGGTGTTCAAACAATTGGGATACGACTTACACCAAATTTTAGCAAATACCCAATCGTGTGACACAGCCTTTAAACTTGTATTTGTACGGATGTTGGTAAAGAACGAACTATAAAAAACTAACCGAAATTAAATAACAACAAAAATAATATTTTAAAACTTGTCAAAATTTGGTGCGGATATAATTTTTTCGACTACTGTACATAAGTTGACAATATTAACCGCAGTCCAGAATTAATTTATTTATCACATGCCATAAAAATTCGATGGGGGTATCCTATTGAATCTGATTAAAAAGTTGATACTATAAATACATATCTAAATATACATAAAATTTGAGTTGAGTCGTCGTACTGTGCGGACGTGTCTTTAGTGCGCTCTAAATATTTCTCATAAACATAATTTATTGTGATTCTTATTTCGACATTTTGCCTAGTGCAATGAGACAGTGACTCTTGTCGTTTCTAATAAAACTGATATGAATATTATCCATCACTATGCCGTGTGTTTGCAACCAAAAAGTTGATCGCGCGAAACCTAAAGTGCAATGCAATAATTGTAACGAAATATACCATCCCAACTGTGTTGGTGTTTTGCCTGCTGATTTAGACTATTTCTCAAATTCAAACAACAAATATGTTTGCAAAAAATGCGCGAATGCTCGCAGACTTTCTCTTCACTCTCCCCCGCGTTCCACTAATCGGGCCGTATTCGCGACTTCAAATAATAAGTCATCTAATTTGCCTTCTCCTGCTAATATTACGAATTATTCAAACTCATCTCATCAACAACAGCTGCCAAAAACAACGCCTACTTCGCGTGATAACTCTGCCAGAGAAGCTAAACAACAACAACAACAAACTCCTACATCGTCAAATTCGCCTGCTCCAGAGAATATTACAGCAACAACAACTTCCAAAACAATGCTTATTTCGTGTGATGATTATGGTAGAGACATCAAACAACAGTTAGCTATCCTACCAACGATCCACAGTGAGCTCAAAGCGCTTAGTTCTGAGCAAGCGTGTGCAGTCGGGGAACTTCATGCTCTCCAAGATGATAAAAAGCTCTTAATTGAACAAACAACTCAGTTGCGCTCTGAGTTATTAGCCCAGCGTAAACTTCATTCCGAATACGTTCTCGCTGCTCTTGTTTCGCTCACTGCTGAAGTTAACGAATTGCGCCAAATGGCACTACACTGTAAGTGTGGTTGTACTAACACACCAACAGAAAATTCTACCAACGCTATCGCGGCCGCTGCTTCACCAAAGGTAGATACTGCTTCTCTGGCTTCCGCCAATGTTGATGTTACTGCTTCGCAGCCCGCTCCCGCTAATGATGATGTCGATGCTTCGCAGCCTAATGTTAATTCTCTTGTTTACACTGTTTTTAATTCTACTAGTGCAGTCGCCAATGCACCGCCTGACAAACTCTTACATACACATAATAAAACAATATCATCTCGCTCTACCTCTCCGGCCGTGGATAGTGTACTCGGCGTTGACACTCGCAATGTCTCTAGTCTGAGTTATGCTGATGCATTAGGGTCTGCCGAAATTCCTCCGCCTGGAGTACCAGCCGTAGACGTCCGTAACAACGTAGCCCACCAAGTAAACAACGATCGCATCAAAGTCGTTAATCCGAATGGCAAGAGAATCAATGATTTGCGTGTTATTGGTTCAAATACTAACGCAGAACTGAATGTTGCTGTTCCTAAGAAGGTTGCTGTTCGTAAGAAGTGGCTTCCTTTAGCTTCCTTCAAGCCTTCTGTAGGCTGTAATGACATACTCGAATATGTGGAAAACACTCAGGTATCAAAAAACAGTCGCTACTTTGTCATAAGCTCGTCAAGAAAGATGCCTCAATGGATGATTTAGAACATGTTAACTTCAAACTAGCTGTCGCCGAGGATTTGTTTCCCAAGTTGCTTAAGCCTGAGATCTGGCCTGCAAACGTCACTGTTCGCCCTTTCGTTTTTTTTAACGAATAGGGGATCAGCCAGTACCAACGTAGCTCCTCCCCATGGGGGGTATAGTTTTAAAATATATTTCCAAAACGTCTCTGGAATGCAGGCAAAAGCTAGTATGGTTCATAGATTAAGTTCGCACTTAGACTACGATGCCTTCGTTATAATCGAAAGCTGGCTGAGACCCAACTTCTATGACTCGGAATTTTTCGACCCAAATCTGTATAATGTATTTCGGGAAGATAGAGATGAATCTAAAACCGGGCGTTGCAGAGGAGGCGGAGTTTTAATTGCCGTCCAGCGTAAATACAACTCGTTCTTAGTTCAACTACAGAACTCAGATACAATTCTCGACCAACTCTGTATTGGTCTGAAAGGCTCGACGGGACGACTTTTTCTGTGTGCATCATATGTTCCGCCGAATAGTAGCAGCTCTATTTACAAATCTCACATGGATAATGTCGTATCTCTTAGTTCCAGAATAGGCGATCATCATCTATGTGTGTTAGGTGATTTCAATTTGAGCTCTGTATTATGGCGTAAACTTAACAACTCATTATGGCTAACCCCTGTAAGCGCATCAGACGAAAGTGATCGTATTCCATAGATAGTCTCTTAAGTATTGAATTATCACAAGTTAACAGCTATTTTAACAAGCTAAATCGTCTTTTAGATTTGATATTCTTAAGCAGTAATTTAAATTATCAGTTAACTGAGTGCAACTCGCCTATATCTGTAGGCAATATCCACCACATTCCTCTAGTGTTAAGTCTACATTCCTATGAATTTTATACTGCTCCAGTTGATGGTCTCAGGCCGACGTTTAATTATAATCTTTGCGACTTTGAACATTTGAACTTAGTTTTAACGGGTCATAACTGGACCGACCTTCTCGAAAATTTAGACACTTCAAGTGCTTTTAAAACTTTTAAATCTTATGTCTATGAGTTGTGCTTAGATCTCATTCCTACTTTTCCTAGGAAGACCTACACTTTTCCCTGGTATACTAAAGAACTAAAGTATTTAAAAAATTGGAAAAGCAAATTCTATAAGAAATACAAGGCTTCGAACTCGTCTGCTTACTACGATCTATACAAATTTTACCTACAAGAGTTTAATTATCTCGACAAATATCTTTATAAAAAGTATATCAGTAATCAAGAAGCTAATATCAAAAATAATCCTAAGGCTTTTTGGAGCTATATTAAATCCAAGAAGGCCACTTCGTACATACCTTCATCGCTTTTCTATAAAGAAAAGCTCGCGAATACCCCTGAAGAGGCGGCTAATCTATTTACCGAGTATTTTTGCTCAAACTTTGTGACCGAGTTGAACCATGACAGCAGTCCCATCCGCAGTTGTGTCTCCGACGCTACCCTATCATTTGAGTCGGTTACTCTGTCATCTGAAGACGTTGAAAAAGGTATTCAGTCTTTGAAAATCTCGAAACAAATGGATCTTGACGGCTTATCCGCCATTATTTTTAAAAAATGTCCCGCCCTTATCGAACCCTTAACGATAATTTTTAATAAGTCTCTATCCAATGGGGAGTTTATTAACGATTGGAAAAAGGCCTCTATAACCCCAGTTTTTAAAAGTGGCAATAAGAATGATGTTAGCAATTATCGACCGATTTCGAAATTGTCCACTGTCTCTAAAATCTTCGAATGCGTCATCAAAGCAAAGTTGTCATTCTCAGTCCGTAGCCTGATATGCCCAAATCAACATGGATTCGTCAGTGGCCGGTCAACTGTATCCAATCTTGCAGTTTTCACTGCAGACTGCTTTGCAGCCTTTCAGGATGGAGATCAGGTTGATGCGATCTATACTGAACTCTCTAAAGCCTTCGATAGTTTCCCATAAAATCTTAGTGGCTAAATTATCAGATATGGGCTTCCACTCCACTTTTTTGCAGTGGATTCGGTCTTATTTATATAACAGACAGTGCGTAGTTGCCTTTGACAACGTATCTTCACAACCTTTCGTCGCGTAGTCAGGCGTCCCCCAGGGTAGCATACTGGGGCCTTTGCTATTTACATTATTTATTTATTATGTCAGCTCCTGCTTCCAAACTTCAAAATTCCTTTTGTACGCCGACGACCTTAAAATCTACTCTACGATTAGAAACTTGCATGACTCCTGCGCACTGCAACTTGAGCTTGATAAGCTTTACCCGTGGTGCACCCGGAATCGGCTTTTTCTGAATGTAAAGAAGTGTTTTCATTCCACATTCACTAGAAAATATAGCCCGTTACAAAATTTCTGGCTCAACCCTCGATCATGTTACAGACTTCAAAGATCTTGGTGGATATTTTGATTCCAAACTTCGATTTACCACCCACGTCAACTATGTTGTTTCGAAATCGTACGCTATGCTTGCTTTTGTAAGACGTAACTGTTCAGCTTTCTCGGATCCATACACGCTCAAGATGCTATATACTTCATTAGTAAGATCTCGGATTGATTACGCAGCCCTCATTTGGAGACCGTTTCACGTAACCCATATTAACCGTATAGAGCGAATCCAAAAAATATTTATTAAGTTTGCACTCCGTTATTTAAACTTTACTGATCCTATACCTCCCTACGAATCCCGTTGTCAACTTTTATCCCTAAAAACTTTACAGTCCAGATCTTCCTTTCTCTCTTGCAGCTTTGTGTATAACCTGATAAATTATACAGTTGACTGCCCTGCCCTACTGGAGAAACTAAACTTCTTTATTCCTGCGCGGAATCTCCGACACGTCCCTCTGTTTTACACTGAGTTTCCTAAATTTGATTACCTTAAATTCGCTCCCATACCAAGAACTCTATCTTAATTAAATAATATTCCTAACTTCGACCCGTCCCTGTCGCCTGGAGCTGTCCGGAGCCTACTGTATAATTATTTTAACTAGTTCCTAAGCAATTCTTTTCTGTAGTCAGTAAGAAATTAATTGTTTCATATGACTTACAAATAAATAAATAAATAAAAATAAATAAATAAATAAGTTGGCTATGATTACTCGGCCGTGCTATCATAGTAGTACAATGCCACTCATATTTGACTTACAAACAAACTACGGGCAGGAGTTTCAAGATTTCAACCCTGTTTTTATGATAAATTTTATTTTTATCAGTATTTTTCTTTTAACCAAAATATGTGGAAATAAAAGTGAAACTAAAAAAAAATTGCTAGAACCCTCCCCGAAAAAAAATCCTGGCTACGGCCCTGAGCGTTACTAGCTGGAAGTGTGACCAGAATGCGGAGAAGTTTGTTAATCAATGGAAAAGCATATTCGTCGTATTTACCATGAAGTTCTGCTGCTGATTTTGGGAATGGCTTTTCGCCATTATAATTATTGGAGGGGAAAAAAATTAAATTTCGCAGGCTTTTGTTATTTATTGCAGAATAAAGAAAATTTTTCGCCAAAGAAATGGGACATGGCCCATTCATTTGAAAATCTTGTCACACAGGTATGAAATGGAATAAACTGCGAGTTGCTTTCCAAACAAACGACATTAAAAATGACAAATTTTATAATTCTTGCTAAAAAGGTGGAGTAACTCTTTATGTAAGTAACGCTTTATGTAAACCAAAATGATTAAGTTATCTCTCTCCGTTCAGGAGATATGACCAAAAAAAAAATTATTATGTTAATAATATATTCGTGATTTTGCGGAAAGTAAGAGGATTATTGCAAAACAAAGTATATGGAAAAATATATTACCTGAACCTCTACCAAAGTACGTAGCTATCTTGGTTATCCAAAAAAAAAGGTTTTTAAGTGGCCGACTTCACGTATTTTGATCTACTTTAATTGAAATTATTTTTTTTAATTATTTGATCAGTCACTGCTTTACGAAACAATTAATATCTCAGACCCTATATCGATACACCATTTAAAAATTTGTCAGTTAAATCTTTGATATACACTTTGATTTTTAAAACCGGCAAACATGGTCTTTTAGCAATTTTGTAAATTGTTTATTAACAAACGTAGGGAAAATTGGACTTAAAAAACAAATAAAACATTTTTTATAAATCTCTCACTCTTTGTCAATAAAAAAGTACTAAATAATTTTTTTTATACAACCAATATTTCGAGTTATGATGTGATAAACAAGAGATACCTAATATTTATGATGTTGTATAAGTTTAAAAAAAAAGGTTGTTATTTTTTTTTGCGTTTACACACACTTTGGGACTTCCTCTGCAACAAGATCTAAAGTTATACCTTGGGTTTATTAATGCAATATATATACACACAAATACTTATTTCTAGCTTACAATGTTGGTAAAATTAAAGATGTAACTAAGTAACTTAAGTACTTATTCAGAATTTTTATTGTAAATTGCAAATTCAATTTTCCGCTTTCCTTTTGCGAATCTTTCTATTATCCTTTCAGTGTCAATTTATATATCTAAGTGTACGTATAAAAGTGCTAGACCTATCAGTCTTTCTTCATTCATGGGTCTTCGCAACCATGTTTTTAACCGGCGAAAGGGTGAAAAACTTCTTTCGGAAGAAGTGTTACTAGCTGGAAGTGTGACCAGAATGCGGAGAAGTTTGCTAAGCAATGGAAAAGCATGTTCGTCGCATTTACCATGAAGTTCTGCTGCTGATTTTGGGAATGGCTTTTCGCTTTCCTTATTTGTCCATCGTTCCAACCACACTTTATACTCTCCTTCCAAATTGACACCATATTTTTCTAAGAAAAGTTCGTATCGTTTTCTAAGCGATTTTACGCGTTCGATAGCATTATTTTTTTCGTGAGGCGTATTATATGCCCCAATTTTAGATGGAAATAATAAGTTCAAATCAAAAATGTTTAATGTCTCTTTCGGCAATCTTTATCAGAGATCGAGCAAAATATTATCCAATAGCGGTAAAAATATTGCCTTTCGATAATAATCTTCAGCGTCAAGCAAGGGCGCTTGGAGAAGTTGGGTTGGTGGGTCAATTGGGGCGACCCTGTATCCGCCACTGTGTGCATGAGGATCGCTTGCATAATTATGTAGGCATACGTGTGAAGCTACATGTATAAATATATAATGTATTTAGTTTGTCGCTAACTGTAACAAATGGTTGGGTGTAAATTGATAGAAGTACCAATTATGTACGTGGAAAGCACTTAAGTATTTGAATGCCTAAAATTTTTTCTTATACAAAGTATAAGTACATATAAGTACAATATAAATTCCGCAAGAAAATAAACGGTCCTACTCTTCCAAGCTTGTCAACTCAAACCATTGGTGACCCCGGCGTGATCTCGTCTCGTATAAAATCGTCGCGTATTCACTAATTTGAATACTTCTTCCATTTCGCAAATACAGTAAAACCCGCTTAAGTACCTCGCGAAAAATGTCAGCTTTTTGAGGTACTTAGGCGGGTTGGGTACTTAAAAGAACCCGCTTAAGTACCTCGATGTGGGTACTTAAGCGAACATAATTATTGATGTAGTTACACCTTCTTGTTAACTTACATAAATATATAAATACTTGAATAACACATGAAAATTTAAAATCAAGATCGTAGCATTATTTAAACACAAACAAAGAAAGAAAAACTTTATTAAAAAAATAAATAATACAGTGGCCTGTCATTTTTACAAGAATTAAATTCTTTAAAAAGTCAAAGTTGGACATATCATTTAGACCAAATTCAAAATGATATTGCTTGCCACTTATGTTTATTTATTAATTTTTAAGAATTTTCAATCAACTAAAATACATTTCATTCCCTAACAAATACCATATAAACCTATGCTTAAGATTTTGTAGAACGCTTCAAAATTTCAAACTTTTTTCTCAGAAGTGTTTTTTGAAAGAACAGTGAAGTTATGAAAGTTTTAGTGTAATAAGCGGCTAAAAATTACCGTTGATTTTTTAGAATATAGAATGGAACAAAGGTGTGTAGCGCTACCACTGAACTTAACAATATGTAAATATTTTAAGGAATTTTAAAAGAGCACTAAAAAGGGGAAAATGATAAGTAAAATGGTAAATGGGGCACGAAAAATTTAGGTACTTAGGCGGGTTAGGTACTTAACCCATATGATCCCAAGCAAATTTTTTTTTCGCGTATTTGAATGAAACTTGTAGATTAGATATTTGTGGTCAAAATTTTTTTAGGAATTTTAGTTTTCGAGATACGGGGTGTTCGATTAATCGAACACTGGGCACAAGTAGGTGTTTTTTTTTTTATAATTTTTATCTGTTTATTGCTTCAGCTGAGTAAAAAAACTGATTTATTTCAAGGTAACGATTTATTAAATAACTTTTAAAAGGACATAACAAGTTAATATATTGCAGAAGTTTACTTTTTTAAATGGTATGACTCAAAACAATGGGTGTGTAGTGCAATGTTACATCTCTTGCATATGAAAGAACTAGGCTTGTGGCACAATTTGCATCTCCATTTTTTATTATTTTCGATTTTCACAATGAGGTGCTGTCCGGCAAGTCTCGGGATATTTTGAGGATGACTATCCTTTGAAGATCCTGGTAAATAATCAAGGTCACTCTCTTCGTCTTCTGCGGCGTTTCCGACGTCTTCATCATCAGCGGTCATTATAAGAGAATAAGCAATTTGCACACGGAAGTCTTTCTGATGCAGGATGCTTTTCTTATAATATCGACGAGAAAAACAGTCAAGTTTCCATGCGTTCACAACAGCAGAATTTAATAGAGAAATCCATAAAGGCCAATACCATTTTTTGGATCGAATCGCAATGTAATGGTTCTGGGCGGCATTGTCGTGAAGATCCACTCCACCCATACCCATATTATAATTTTTAAGTAGCTGAGGCTGGTTGTAGTTTGCATATCCTCCAGGTTGAACAATTTCCCCACAAGCGCTTACTTTTTGCTTCTTCCACCTTTTTACAGGCACCATTGGCATGATTTGTTCGAAGTTTGTGGCAATCGTAACCTCGCTATTGTCCTGCCAACGACAAACCAAAATCTTATTGTTGTTATCAAATTGGTAGTCATGATTGCCCCTCTCTAATTGCTTTCCAGTTTTAAGTTGTGCACCTCCAATACGATTTGCCCGTACGGTGCCAGTTGCGCAGAATCTTTTCTCAGATAATAGGCACATTAAGTAGTAGGACGTAAAAAAATTGTCAAAATATACCATATGACGACTTGGATACTCAACATTTTCCAGCAAGCGTAAAACCACATCTGCTCCCAATCCAACCTGCTTGTCGTATTTATCGGCTGCTCCAGCATATGGTATACAATTATAAAGGTAGCCAGAAGCCGAACACAGACACCACAATTTGTAGCCGAAACGAATGGGTTTCCCACGTATGAACATTTTGCAAGAATGACGTCCAAAGTATGGAACCATTTGTTCATCGATTGAAAGCTTCTCCTCCCAAACACCAAATTGCATAAATTTTGCGTTCATAACTTTATACAATGGTCTTACCTAAGTAAACAGAATACAGTTTATAAGCAAATCATACAAAATGAAAATAACTTGATTAAAGTACCTTAGCCATTTTATCTGTCGAATCAAGATTGTAGTTGTTCCCGAAATGGATGAACCTCTTGATATCTTGAAAACGATTCCTGGACATGCATACTTTCACGATAGGTACTCCTAATGTTGGGTTTGTTGACCAATAGTCACGAGTTGTCGGCAAAGTATGATATCCTGATAAAATTAAAATACCAAGAAATCGCTTCAAAGCAACTTGATCAATGCGAAAGTGTTCGTTTTTCTGCTGAGCATATCTACTTGTTTCTTCGATAATCATGTCAAGGACTTCGTTATCAAAAAAGAGTGAAAACAATTCCAATGGGGTTTTGCTTTGGAAGGTTTCTGCCAAGTTTTTCTTAACATCATCCAATGGCTCGGTTGTAGGGGAAATATCATATTCGAATGTCCCGTCACGGTTTTTTCTCTGCACCCACTTGGGCTTACTAAAAGCTGATAAGGGCTTATATTTTTTAACTGGTGTTTCATTTGTCTCAATTCGCTGCCTTTTGGAGGGATTTTCTGAGGTAGATGGTGTTGTATCTGACGAAATTTCGATACCAGTGACGTTATCTTCTTCGATATGGTCATTTTGATGTATATAGTCTCCTGTAGATTTTTCAATCGTATCTAGCTCAAATGTTCCAGCACATTCCACTATATCTTCGCACTATTAAATAGATTATTTAATATTAAAACAAAAGAAAAAATACTTATTAGAATAATTCAAAGCTCGTCAGAGAAGTGTTACACTTACTTCACCCATAGTTATTACATCATCATCAAAATCTTCTTCATCGGTATTTTCGTCAACTTTTTCCGGTGGTACAATTGTAACTGTAGCAATTTCAGTTTCATCGTCACTCCAGTCTTCAATAATAGCCATTACTTCATTTTTAGTAAGAGCTCGACGACGAAGGGATCTAGCACACTGTTTTTCCATTTTTTAATCACACAATTTTCCACTTTCTAATTACAAATTGCTTCGACTAAACAAGTTCACTGAACCGCACACTTATTCATACTAAATTTGAACACGTGCTTTTAGTTATTCCGACTAAAATATTTCTACGCAATTGAACAAACGGTAAATACATTTCATATTGCAACCGAATTCAAAGAGGAAAAAAAAATGCTGAGTTGTGCCCAGCGTTCGATTAATCGAACACCTAACTTCACATACATACAGGGACCGTTATATTAAATTTGCAAACACGAAAACTATCAAAACGAAAACTTCAGTTCATTCGCAGCAAAACCTTATACCAGGTTCTCATATTTTCTAAATCTCTTTAATTAAAATAATTCTTTTAAAAATATGCTAAAATTAGTGAGTTTTTATTATGCTCTGTGCTAAGATTGGGTGATGGTCAGAAAAAATAATTGTTCGTAATAATGTAGAAAACACTCCAAACCAACATAAAACGTCATAATTTCGTATCTCACTTTTAAATAAAACCCCTGAAAAAATTGCAAAAAACAGTAAAAATTACTGTTCGATTATTCGATCAATGGGACGATATGGGTTAAGCGGGGG